AAAAAATTAGCCGGGCATGGTGGCGCATGCCTGTAGTCCCAGCTACTCGGGAGGCTGAGGCAGAAGGATCGCTTGAGTCCAGGAGTTTGAAGTTGCTGTGAGCTAGGATGACGCCACGGCACTCTAGCCCGGGCAACACAGTGAGACTTTGTCTCAAAAAAAAAAAAAGAAATTACTTGAGTTCTCTCTAGTAATCTGATAAGCTGCCCTATTGTGGCTTTTTCTTATTATTTGTTGGCATTTTTGTCATATTTTATCATTTAGAATAACATTGTGGCTTCTCCCTTTTTCTTTTTTTTGAAACAGATTCTCTCTGTTGTCACACAGGCTGGAGTTAGAGTGGCATGATCATAGCTCCCTGCAGCCTCAAATTCCTAGGCTCAAGCAATCCTCCTACCTCAGCCTCCTGAGTAGCTGGGATGACAGACACGTGCAACCAAACCTGGCTAATTTTTTATTTTTATTTTTTTTAGAGATCGGGTCTCACTGTGTTGCCCAGGCTTGTCTCAAGAAATCCTCCCACCTTGGCTTCCCAAAGAGCTGGGATTAAAATCATGAGCCACCATACCCAGCCTTTTCCCATTTTAAGTAACATTTAGAAAATATCTAACAAATGGGAGACAGTCTTTTATTATATATGCAAAAAAACTAGATCCCTAGATTACTTCGCAGGGTTAAATTGAATCCAAAGTTCACACTTTTCTGATTCTGAGTATATAATAATTAAGACAAGCATGCTGATTTTGTAGCTCTATGATCAGATAAATGGATGATGATGATGCCAGATTGTAAATGTGTGCTCTTCTTTTTGCCTGTTTGTCTCCTTGACAAATTCTGAAGATATGGAGTTCCTAGAAGTGCTCACCGAGGGACTAGAGCGAGTCCTCCTGGTCCGGGGTGGTGGCAGTGAAGTGATCACTATTTATTCGTAATCTCTTCCTGAATGACTCTGGCCTCACCTTTCCTAAAAGACCTCCATCCTCCGTGGAAGTGCCAGCTCTTTACTACCACTGCTGCTCAACTAGAGGCCTGTGTTCTACACACGTCACACTGAAATCTGGATGAGCTGAGCCTCAAGTACTTGTGCAAAAGAGTACAAATGGATCTGCTCTTTGCTCCCATATGATGTGCAGTCTTTACAGAAGCAGCAAATATTCCCGCAACATCCAAACAATGGTCAAGTCCTAAATAAAAGCCATGTCTGACTGAAGGCAAGGTAGAATTAACAAGCTGTGCCAATCAATGAATTGGTAAAAGGGATGCTAGAAATTCAACTGAAGACAAAAAGCAAGTATATATCCAACATTAGAGATGAGTCTCAGAAATCATGGTTCAATGATGACATCAGAGGGGTAACAGCCAGAAACACAGCTTCATCTTACTAAAGAATTCATGGCTAAGAATATGGGGACCTATTATCCTGTGGAGATAACCTGTGGCAAGCCAAACTGAAAACATTTTTTAGCTAATTATCTTTAGTTTACCCACTGCTCTCCTCTAATTTTATATTAGCGTACTAATGTACAAAACCTGAAACATGGCTGCAGCCTCTATTTCTTTCTCAAAAACAAGAGTCCCCCAAAATACCAGATTCAAGTATCTATACTGTGTCAGTGTATATTTCACCTGTTTGTCTTAACTCAAAACCCATTCTGTGGTTGTAACACAGGCCATGTTACCATGGAAATTGTTTTTTTAAAAGTAAAAATTATTTTTTTCAGGTTCTTTTCAAATGACTGAACTAAGGCAATTCCACAAGGAAGCTATTAAGATATACCGAAATACAGTCTGTGGTTCTCTATGCAACATGAACAAAACATATAAGCTGTTATCTAAAAAATATAGGTCATGATGCACATTGACCATAGGTTCTCCTTTCCTTCTTTTTTTGCCTTCTGAGTTAGGAGGTACAGGTCAAAAAAATTGGAAGGAACAAACACTAGGAAGACTGGACAAAATCCTTCCCTAAAAGCTTTGAACCATCTTTTAAAGGGGGATTCTAGCAATGAAATTGGAAGTTCTAGAGCCATATTCTTTCCATAGTGCCAAAGTTACTGAGCTGCTACTCTCCTTACCTGCTTCACTAAAGTGGCATACAGATTGGCATTGGCCTGATTCAAGAAACTTTTCTTCCACTAAGAAACCTGTGGCCTCATCTCCAAAGCCATAGTTAAGACAAGGCATTCAACTTAATGCCCAAAGTATGAGCATTTCCCCCTTTTCTTTCAATTTTATTCTTCATTTGGACTGCAGACACTTGGCTCTGAACAAAGATTATCCAAGCCAACGGTCTTCTGCTATTTCACTTTTGTTTCCGAAAGCTCAAAATATGCCAAGGAAAACTTGTGCAAGCTCAGCTTATTTACCTACCAATTTACTGATCACAAAACATCTGGCTTATAAGCATAAATAAACTGTGTGGCTGAGTAGTAATTTAAAGTATGTGAAATCTTCATTTCTTTTACAGGATAAGTATTTAGAGAAACTGTATTCATGGTTGTTTTTGAATTTTGCTTTATTAATGACAAATAGTGCAGTTCTTCTTTGATTCCCAAATAGGCTATGGAGCAAGCTGGCCTATGTGTCACAAATTAAGGTCAGAGAAGAAAATCCTTCAATATGGCTTAAGTAATTGAGTCACTTGGATTTATTCCCTTTGTTTGTACTTCAACCTCTAGGGTAGCAAAGCAGACAGGATCTTGTCTCTTTTTCTGCTCCTTCCTACAGAGGGTAGAAGCATTGTTTACAACTCCCACTGCAACACGCCATTGCTTAGCTGAGTATACCAGTAGTGGGTGAGGTCCTCTAGGACCCAAGATCTTAAAGACCCATACTATAAAAGTCAGCCTGCCCAGAATTCCCCTATACTTACATACACTCCTGGCCAAAATGATGTATTTTTTTCTATAGAGAACAAATATGGGCAGAAAATAATGTTAGTTTTTAAGTGCTATTTGTGGTTGGAGCTCTGTAAAAAAATCTTTTAAAGGGATAAAGGAATTAGTGGCTATTAATATAGCCACTACTTCAGTCCCTAAAACACAAAATCACTGTTACATGGAAAAGTGGTTATTAGACCAGATTTATACTCATCTGTCTAGAACATTTCATGTCTGTGTGTTGCTTATGCTGTTTGTTTCCCAAGTGTCTCGTCCCTTTTAATCACTGCAAATAAAGCAATACTGAAAACTTGATGAGAGAGAATGCACCTTAGGGGAAGGGGCTTTGTCTTTCAAGAGGGAAGAGAAAGGAAAGACCTCCTCCTGCCTTTTGAGTAAGATCCAGCTTTTAAGTCTTATCTATGACTTTACCAGGGCAGGTTATAATAATATACATTCTCCTTCTCTGGGCCCTCTGCCTTCCATAGTTATCTTAAAAGCTGACATTTGAACTGCGGCATCTACTTGACAGGTGCCAGGTTCCTCTTGGCAGGGGAAAGATCACTATGTATCTTCCGTTGCCTCAGATTCCTGTGGCCCCAAGGATCCCACCAATCCTCATTCCCCCAAACATGTTAAAGATCCTTTATTGTGGGTATTAAAATAAGTTACACTGTAAGCATATTTATGTGCTCTTTTTGTCTGGTTTATTTCTTTTTCATCATGTATAATCTGAATCCGGCATTAGTTTCTCACATCTTCCAGAAGTGTCTCTAGTGGAATTTTTATGTATAAAATAGCTTGTATAAATAGAAGAGAAATATTAAGGAAAGTAGACTTAAGGGAAACTTGTGCAACTTTTTCTAAAGCATTGTTCTCAACCATTTAATTTATTGAAAGGAGATGCTGCTACGGTTCTTGATTTAGCAGCAACCATTCTTTTGTTTACACAGAGTTATGGTTTTGTTTGTTGTTTTGCTCTGTACTGGAAACATAAATAAAGTTTTCTACATTATTTTCAGTCAGGGGTTGTGGTACAGTTTATTTGTGTTTGTAATAATGTGCACATTGTCCTTCTAGCAGGATCTGTCTCCTCACCATGGAGAAAAGAGAGCTTTTTGGGTTTTTTAACACGAGTGATTATTTAAGAGTATGATGAGGAGCCACTGGGCTTAAAGGAGGATATAAATAAAACCCAAATACATAGGCACCAGGTGCTGCTTTCTCAGGTTCACAAAAGCAGTCCTCCACCACTGAACTCCATTCTCTGAAAGAAGAAAAAGTAAAGTGAGTGGTGAATAAGTATTAAAATAACTTCCTGAATCAATTACTTAACACTTTAATCACAAGATCTGTTTTGCCTTTCCTTAAAAAATAATTTCCATACTCCTAATGGCTCTTATTTCTTAATAAAGAAACTCTAATACCAACCCTTAATTTACCACCCTCTAGTAGGTCAGCTATTCACTGTACATTATAACTGCCCAAAATGCAGTTTTTCTTTTGCCTTACCTCAGGAGGCTCAATGAAGGCTAACCAATCTGATGCATGTGTAGGCAACAGTCCCATGGACTGGCACTTGTAAACAGCCAAAGCCAAACCCATCAGGTTCCCAATAAGATAGACCAAACCCTGAAGAAACTTCTGGCTTGAACTTTCTAACATTTTGAAGGCTGTTGGGGCAACAGAAGTTGTTAAAACCAAAACAACTTTTTTTTCCCCAATATGGATTAAACCAATAATACATTAAAATTATATAGACAGACCCATAGTAAGATAGCAAATATGACCATTAAAGGCAAACAGAAAACTCTAAGTACTATTTTCCCTTCAGTGCCACCACCATTACCTCCACCACCCTGCACACCCTCTAGCCAAAAACTGTGCCTAAGAATTTGCCTTTAATTCTTAAAAATTAAGGAAGGATCATGTCAAGAATACTTACTGGCTGAAATGGCCATAAGAGCCTGAATGGGTCGCCAGGCCATCATACACACCATCATAGTAGGGAAGATGGAGATAGTATTGCCTGCCATGTACATGATGAAGAGGTTCATGGGAATCTGTTTGAGGGGACCCAAGGCAATGTCCCAGCAGCGCTAAAACAAACACAAAATTTTAACCTCTGATCACTACCCTCAGTCCCACATACATGGTATCACTAATGCTAAAGTCAAATGAACAGAATTCACAATTCCCTGCTTCTGACTGAGCTGCTGCCTCAATTTCACCACCCCTTCCCTTCTCCATGTTGCCACAGGAAGGCTCTCTCTCCTACTAAAGATAAGGCATCCTGGCCCGGGCGCGGTGGCTCACGCCTGTAATCCTAGCACTCCGGGAGGCTGCGGCAGGCAGATCATTTGAGCTCAGAAGTTAGAGACCAGCCTGAGCAAGAGCGAGACCCCGTCTCTACTAAAAAAAAATAGAAATTAGCTGGACAACTAAAAATATATAGAGAAAAAATTAGCCAGGCATGGGTGGCGCATGCCTGTAGTCCCAGCTACTCAGGAGGCTGAGGCAGCAGGATTGCTTGAGCCCAGGAGTTTGAGGTTGCTGTGAGCTAGGCTGACACCACAGCACTCTAGCCCGGGCAACAGAGCCAGACTCTGCCTTGGGAAAAAAAAAAAAAAAAAAAAAACTAGGAAAGAATTAAGAAAAAACAGGAAAAATAAACACTAAAATTTCTTATGGAATCTACATTTCAAATATCATTGGCCAATATCACTCATGAATCTAAATGAAGAAAATCTTAAAATATTAACAAAGTAAATCTAGTTATATAAAAAAATCAGGCCATTTTAATAATAGCTTACTCCCATGAATTATTCATATTACACTTTGATGTACCAAGATGAAAAATGATAGGATGATACTTTTCCAGGATTGATAATGGCTGTCATTTTCATCTTGTGAAAATCACATGCATTCCATGAAACAAAAATCATTTAGTATTGAGTAATATTAAGGCTGGGAAAGAAATGTGAAAGGAAAGTGCCAAACACTGTTCTGGACAATTGAGATACATCAGATAAAATCCTGCTCTCATGGAACTTACAAAAATGATAACAGAGATGGGCAATAAACAAAATAAGTAAGCTGTATTATAAATATGGATGATACGAAGAAATATAAAGTAAGTAAATCGGATAGGGATTGCCATGGTAGGCTTCACTAAGAAGTTAACATTTGAGAGACCTAAGGGAGATGAGTGAGCAAGTCATGAAGGTATCTGGGGAAAGGACACTCCAGGAAGAGGGAAGAACAAGTATAAAAAGCCTGAGACAGAAGCTTGTCTGGTATCTTTAAGGAGCACCAAGGAGGCCATTATGACTACGGTGAGGTCAACAAAAGGGGAAACGGTAGAAGAGGTCAAAGATGCAAGGGGCTTGATCAATGCCAAGTTATGGAGAACACTAAAAAGACTTTGGCTTTTATGCTGAATGAATGGGGAGCTAAAAGAGAGCTTTGAATAGGAA